ATAGTTTGACAGCTTTTTCGCATGTTGAAAAATAGATTTGGGGAAGTTAAATCAAATTCAAACATCTGTGATTGCCATGACTGACTCTAAATACAAGAAAGAAAGAAAGAAAGAAAGAAAGAAAGAAAGAAAGAAAGAAAGAAAGAAAGAAAGAAAGAAAGAAAAAAGAAAGAAGAAAAAAGAAAAAAAGAAAGAAAGAAAGGAAGGAAGGAAGGGGAGGGGAAGGGAAGGGAAGGGAGGAAGGAAGGTTCAAAAACTATTTTTAGACGTTCTTTTAATTAAATTTTGAAGTTTCACCAAGTCTCCTAGCCAAAGTGGGAAAAAGCAGAGGAACTTGGGAATTTTCACCCTGAGTCTCACTCAGCTCCAGTCCCTATTCCAAGTGACACACAGGATGCCAATCTCAAATTTCTGCATTTCCTGGTGTTTCCAGATTCTCTGAATGTGCTCAGATTTCCCACAAGCAAAACCTCACATGCTGTTGAGGACCATTTTGTCTTCTTAAACTAGGTAAATTGGGTCTTCAAGAAACGTACTTCATTTGAACTTCAAGGAGTTTATAATTTTAGAAATCAGAAATCTGCATTTGTCTGTTATAGTGTTCATTATTTCATATATTTCATCATATAGAAACAACATTCTCTTTAAACTTGCTCTTCTGTGTCCTGTAAATGTACTCATTCATGGTTATTTATGAGTGGGTACATGCACACAGTGTGAACAGGTGCATGGAGGCCAGAGATTCTCACTGGTTGTTTCCTTCTATTGATTTCCAAATTACTATTTGAGACATTTTCTCTCCTTTCCCTGAATCTGGAGCTCACTGGTTTACTAACAGGTGGCTATCTGGCCAACAGGCTCCAGAGACCCTCCTGTTTCGATCTCTGGAGCACTAAGGGTTCAGGGGCAAACCATGTGGGGCCTCTGGAAGAGAAGTAGGTGCTCTTAACTGCTGACCCAAGTCATCTCTCCAGAGATTATTTTATTTTTTATAGTCTTCTACTTGTAAATGCAAAAAAAAAAAAAAAAAAAAAAAAAGCAAAAGCTTTTTATAAGAACTGTATAACGGGCCGGGCGGTGGTGGCGCACGCCTTTAATCCCAGCACTCGGGAGGCAGAGGCAGGCGGATCTCTGTGAGTTCGAGGCCAGCCTGGTCTACAGCGCGAGATCCAGGAAAGGCGCAAAGCTACACAGAGAAACCCTGTCTCGAAAAACCAAAAAAAAAAAAAAAAAAAAAAGAACTGTATAACAAGATAGTACTTTACATTTAGCTAACCAAGTTGCTATAGTTTAGGTCTGGAGTCTCCCTTAAGAGACCCATGTGTTGAAGCCTTGGTCACCAGCCTGTAGGACCTTTAGAAGGTAGAGCCTAGGATATCAGACTACTGTGGGTGTGTTCCTGAAGGGGACATTAGGACTCCAACCTCTTCCTCTCTCCACTTTCCAGCTTCCGTGGAGTGATCACTTTTGTTCCATTACAAGCTCCCTGCCACATATACAGTCTCATCCCAGGGTGAAAACAATGTTGCCAAGTAACCATTATTGAAAACTTTGGAAATAAGTGACAAGATAAAAACTACTCCTTTTCTACAATAATTTTCTCAGGAGTTTTGTCATAGTTATGAAATCTGAGTAGCAGTAGCATACCAATTTTTAGTAGGCAGAATGGAAAAATACCCAAGCATATTGGAAGTAATTACATAATTACCCTGATCTCAAGGAAGTGCAGAACAAGCCTCACTTAAGTATGACCTACTCATAGTGACAAACACTGAAAAAAGAAAAAATAGAATAAACAGACACTTTATGATTTAGAATCATAATACAGACTATTATAGCCAGGTGATTGATGTTAATATGAGTCACGACAAGGCAAGTTGAGAGCATTTATGAAATGTCATGCTAATAACAATTTTAAGAACCTGCCATGAAATCTTCTAGACTATCAAGGTAGTCTAAAATAAGCAAAATACAAGGTGCTGTAACAACCAAGAAGAGCACAAAAACGTGTGCAAAATGGGACTGGAGTCCACAAATATTAAAATGATATTAGGCAAAAAAAATAGGAAATATGAGCAAAACACCAAGTTAGTTAGTAACGAAGTATTAATACCAATGTATCAATTATAAAACATATAGTATAAAAACATGAGATTAACACTAAAAGAGAAACCTGGAACATACACCAAATGGTAATATCTTCCTAGTAATTATATACATCTAAAATATTCTAATATTTAAAGACACTTACTAACAAATAGTAATGAAGAAGAGATTAAATAGCATTAAGTTTCAGTAGAGTATGCAATACCAGATACATCACGAATATTAAATTATGCATTTCACAGTGTGGCCCAAATCAGGAACGGAAGACAAGATAAAGAGAGATGGTAGAAGGACTTTGTGAAATGGACAGCATTTTCAGAGAATTACAAAAAGCACTATGGTTTTTCACAAGTGATGCTGAGAGGAAAGATAATACAGAGAGCAAAATGTATGAAAAATACAAGGTAGAAAGTGAAGACCACTTTCCAAGACACTGTGCCATCATATAGGGGACATTCGGGTTCTCCGCAAACTGGACTTGTTTGCAGTTAGTCCAAGGGCACTGGCCATGGCCAGTGACTCAGGAAGCAAGTGAACACTACCAAGAAGCAAAGCCAAAGATGGTGAAGGAGGATAAACATTAGGCACAATGTCCCGGAGGGTCAAGCAATACGGAGAAGGCAATATGAAATGTCAAAGTGAGATCCCTGGTGATTTTTCCCTGAGAGGAGCAAGCAGGGGGTCTCATTCAGAGCAGTAGAGGTGGGGAATTATGAACTGTTATTAATCATTAAAGGTGGATTATTATAAACTACTATAAATGTGTTAGAGGTAGGCAATTATAAACGATGAAAGAGGTTTTCTAATGTACAACACAGATCATTGCTAACAGAATTAACAAGAAATATGTTTGCCATACTGTGGTGTTCAATTGTTCACAAGGGCTCATAGTCAGAACTTTATAATATTTTAAGGCCTTTTGATCAAAATCATGATTAATGATAATTTTTAACTAGTAAGAAAGACGATTCTAGGCCTATGGACTCGCTGAACCTGTTTTCTGTGGCTATAATTGAATCACTGTGAATGGGTTGTCTATGAGAGAAAGTCTGTTTGGGTTATGAATGTCAATGTTGGGAAGCATCAGATTATGATCCTAGTAACTGCTGTCTGCAGAGGGATGCTTGATAGTCTTCTGTTTGGGTTATGAATGTCAATGTTGGGAAGCATCAGATTATGATCCTAGTAACTGCTGTCTGCAGAGGGATGCTTGATAGTCTATCACAGCACGGAGTAAGAACCAAAGAAGTAAATGCAGGTAAGGGAAAGAGGAGCAGATTCTCTTTAGACTCAGGAGAACCCTCCAAAGTGTTATCAGTCCATTCAAAGAGGCTAGGTTCTCACAACCAAACACTTCTTAAGTGCCCTGCTTCTGCATACTTCTATATTTATTGCTAAAATTTGAACAAATGGGGGCTAGAGAGAGGGCTCAGCGATTGAGAAAATGCATGGCTCTTACTGAAGACACAGGTTCAGTCACCAGCACCCACACATATGGCAGCTTACAACTGCATGCCACTCCAATTCCAGGTGATTCGATGCCCCCTCTGGCACCTATGGGCTCTTGCACATCTGTAGTGCTCTCACAACCATGAAGACACACAGCTACATATAAAATAGTAAGTAAATATTTAAATTTCAATTTAAATAAGTGAACCATAAAGGGATACATTCAAACCATAACAAAAAATAAAATAAAACAAAACAAAAACAACAACAACAACAAAAACAAACTCTGATGGCATTCTGTAAGAACTACTGTTTATATGATCCTGGATTATAGTAGTAGGAAAAATGGTCTTAAAAAATAGTTATAAAATGCTGACAGATTGATGTTAGATGCACAGAGAAGTACCAGTTATATATTTCCCAAATTCATAGGTAGAAGCCCCAATCTTCAGTACCTTCAGAATAGAGTACAGTGACCATATTTGCAGAAATGATCCTTAAGAATTCATATAAATCTCGGTCACTTTGGAGAGAGTCCACTGTTACAGGTGCACCGAAAGGAAGAGGAAATGAAGACAGATATACACAGCAGATAGACAGCATGAACACACAAGGTAAGTGATCACCTGTAGGCAAAGTGAGAGGTCTGAGTGTGTGGGAGCACACACATACACACACATACACACACACACACACACACACACACACACACACACACACACCCTGAGCTCACCATTTCTAGAATTGTAGGAAAATAAAATTTTGTTGTTTCAGCCCCCAATTTGTGGTGTTTTGTTACAACAATCCTGGCAAAATAAGTCAGTTATGAAACAACAATGGCCTGTTCTGAATTTTGTAGCCTCATGCACTCATTTGACAGCCTTGCTTATGCCTGGAAAATGGAGGAGGGAGTTCTTGTGGGATGTGGCAGATGACAAATCTTTCCACACAAACACGTCATTGCCTTTTTGAGTCACCTCAAGGATTCATGATGAGAAAGTTTGTGATCATGACTCCTGTATCTACCCAACTGAGAACAATGGGATGTCAGAGACTGCTCTTTCTTACAGACTGCTCTATCTGTGATATGAAAAAAAAATACTTTATGAATACATAAGCATTGGTTGAAGGAATACACCAAATTTGGAGTATTTTTTTTTTTTTTTTGCTTTTTAATGAGTTGGTTTAATTAATTCAAAGTGATACAGAATTCAGAGTACAATAGAGATGAAGCAGCTCTGATAGGATTTCAGACTGGGTTTACTTTAAATTCACAGCTGAGGTAGGAATTGCTGAACACTAGAGACAATGAGCCACTCTATTATTATTTATTATTTTTTTAAAGTTTATTACAATGTACAACAGGCTCCAGAATAACACTTCATTCTGACTACAGGTGGCAAAGATGTTATGGCAGGGAATCCAGATGTTTCCAGGGTAACACTTCATTGTAGCTGTAGGTGGCAAAGATATTATGGCAGGGAATCCAGATGTTTAAATAGGAATGGAAGAGGGTCACCATCATCTCAGATATAAGGAACAGCTTACTTTTTGCCAGATTTCTTAATTCCATCTATGGCCAGGGGTCCCTTGCCCACAGCCTTGGCTTTTAGCTTTTCGAGTTTCTTCTGCTTCTCTTTTTGTTTCTGCTTGAAAGCCTTATCTTCCTCGTCCATCCCCTTGGCCTGCTTCTTGGGCTGTTTCAGGGGCTTCTTTTTGCCACCTTCACGGCCCGACATGGCCAAATTTGGAGTATTTTAAATTTATCTGTTCATCTTAATGAATATGGAAGTAAATACTTACAATGAATGCAGTCATTTACTTCAAGTGACAGGGAGAGAAGGCAGAGGTGAGGTTTTTTGCTTCTACAAAAAACTTGGTCTAACTGAAGTGCATTTTCAACCTCACATCTCTGCTTTTATTGCTTCTAAACCAGATGCATATATTTCCCAGCATAAGTATCAGTCTTCCAACACAATGTGAAATTGGTATCATTCATTATTTATAGTATTTTCGCAGGTGGGAGCAATCAAGTCTTAGCATGCCTTCCTCATGTGTTGGAGTGATAATTGTCAAAGTGAAAAGACACAGAAAGGGAACAGAGTTAGGATAGGACTTTCATTCTTAAAATACATATTATGTGTCACCTATTTTCTGGGGGCCTTACATTCCCAAAGCATCTTAATGAAATATATAAGGATGCTTAGTTTATTTCAAATGAAAACAGAGCTTTAAAATAGAGAGAAAGGGAGTGGATCTGGAGGGGAAAGAAGGGGAGGGGAGGAGAAACTGGGAGTAGTAGAGGGAAGAGAAACTATAATCAGGGTCTTGTTCATGAGAAAAGAATCTATTTTCAATAAAAAGAAAAAAATGAAACATATTTTGGAGGCATTTTAGTCGGTTCTGGCAGCTATAACAAAGCAGAACAGGCCAAGAGGCTAATCCATAACAGAAGACTATTTCCTAGAGTTCCAGGGGTTACATGTGTGAGTTGAGGTGCAGCCAGCACGCTCCACTTCCAGTGGGTGCCTTTTGCTGTTTACCTGCAAATCACCACCTTCTTGCATCTCCATACATAGATAACAGGCTCAGAAAGCCCCCCAGAGCTTCTCTTTCAGGAACACTGGTCTGCCCTTGAGACATTTAGACTCACAGCTCAACCCTCCCCACACTGTTCCGTTTCCTAATGCCACTGCATTACTTAGGATTTCTGTATATCCATTGGTTGGAAAACAGTCTACAGAACAAGGAAATGATCTACTAAGTTTTAGATCCAGAGTTTTGCCATAAATCCCATGTGCTTTAACTCAGAAGACACTGAATTTCAGCGTCAATGCTAACAATTTTAGATATGTAATAAATACTAAAGCATGGAACTTACATTTGTCTCTCAGGGATCTGAAGTGCTGCATGCTGGCAGGTCCTCTGTGCTCTATAGCACAGCAAGAACACGAGGCCACCACTCGTGGAGTAACTCAGGAGTAACTCAGTTTATTTAGGTGTTTTCCCCAGGTCATTCTTCTGTTCTGCATCTCCCCAGGTCCCCTAAGTAGCAGGAAGTGTGTAGGGGGAAGTTTCTCTGCTTAGCCCTGCAGTCCCGACAAATCTCTCCCACCTGAGCTCTCACAGCCGCTTATAAAATAATCACTCAGAAGATTAATATTAATTACTCTATTGTCTATGGTTCAGGCTTCTTGCTAGCTAGCTCTTACAACTTAAGTCAACCCATTCCCATTAATCTATGTTTTGCCACATGGCTTCATGGCATTAACTGTTCTCTCAGATCTTGCTTCTCCTAGTAGCAGCTTGGAGCCTCTCCTCTGTCTACACCTTTCTTCTCTTAGTCTCTCTTGGATTTCCCTCCTGGTTCCATTCTGCCCTGCCATAGACTAATGCAGCTTTATTTATTAACCAATGGGAGCAACGCATAGTCATAGCCTGCAGAAAGACATCTCCCAGGAGAAGTGTATGTCCCTTTGCTTTCCTTGATGTAGCACTACTGTGGCCATGTATGGAGTCCTTTGTCACAAGCCTACAGCTTCATGATTTGCACAATCCCTACTTCACTTCTGACAGTCAATATTGCACTGAAGGTCACAGATTCCCTTCACATGGGACACTGAATCCTCAGACATTTCTCCAGCTAAAATAATCTCACGTGATTGCATATTATCCACAGATTATTATGTGACATGATGTCACTGAAAACATTAGATAATACTATATATAAATATCATATGAAGTACACAAAGTAAATCATGTTATGGTTAGAACATTGAGTCCACAAGGCAAACTTATAAAGGGCTTTGAGGGACATGCTCATGACCTTTGATGCTATCCTTAGCAAAACCAGTTTGTACGCTATATTGTAAGTATAGAGGAGGGAGAAGAGATGTACCTGTGCTATGATAATGAGAATAATACTACAAATACAGGTTCCCATTACAGAGACATTTTTTGAGCCAAATTTAGGATATAAAAATTACATAGATACTAAAAGGGAGGGTGGATATCAATAAAATCTGGGTCATGCTCATGGTCCATATCCAGAAGGGGTTTATCCATCCTGTCACTACAGTAGGCTCAGTCTCTGATCTGGGGTTGAGGACGATACATTTGCTTTAGTAATCTTTAGCCTACTCTCTGTATATCCTCGTGACTCCTACCTATCTGTGGCCACATTCCTTCAGTTTATTATCTACATGCCTTCATCACTCGCTCCTAGGCCTTGATTTTAACATAACCACAACTTTGCTCAATATATTTTATACCCTCACATAACACCCACTATACACAGTGACTCCCTTATTGTCTGGGTGACAGTGAAAATATTCCCAGACATGAACAGTTAAACTGTTATTTGGAAACTCGTTAAAAACAAGAAATGATGCCTTTGGCATTCTATATATTCTGCCTGCTGTTTTAGATCTTGCAGCAAAGCATCCCATAATGCTCTGAAACAATCTTATCAAATAACAGTTAATTATAGGAAATTCAGCACCACTTAGCATCCTTGCTAATGGCGATGATAACAATATTACCTCTTCATAATTTTTATGAGATGAGACAGGTCACAGTTTGTGAAATGGTACCCAAGTTCCACATAGATTTCTAAAATGTGTTACATGTTATATATGTATGTGTACAAAAATACCTAGAAGAACAAGAAATTCAGAAATACAACTTCATTATATATAAAAAAAGAAAGGGCTAATGAATATTAATGTAAGACTATGGGTATATTAGCAGTGCAAAAAGCACAGAGGATATGTGTTCAGTCTCTGAAACTAGATACCTGGATTCAAATCCCAGCTGCTACACGTGTGCTGAAGGACCAAAGACACATGAGGCTGAAGATTCACGAACAGCTGCTTTGATTGGCATGTTTAATAAGTTTAAAAGTGTGCCTAGCAATTGGCAAACACACAAGTTAGAAGTTATTAGGAGTCTTTACAATAGTTATCTTTTTTCAAAAGCCAATCCCTTATTTCTTTGATTTTCTGACTTCCTTCTATGTCACCTTTAACCTATCAATGAAGCTCTTGAGTCTCACCCTTGAACAAGAAATCAAATGTGGCAAATTCCTACCACTCACATTGCCACCATAGTCTTGGCATGGGTTCTCCAACAAGCAGTGCATAGGATGAGTAAGTTCAAGTATTTGTTTTGGAGACAATACTAGAAAACAACTGTTAGGATGCAGGAAGGTGAGACAGGAAAGGGAATAAGTTAAAAGAATATGCTATGTATGCTATGATGCTCTAAGGACAAATGACTCACGTTACCTACCCCAGGGTAGCTTGTGCACATAGGGGCATCCATAATCATGCAGGCTGTTGTCCTCCCTTTGGACTTCCATACTTCCCCTTATTTACTTTGATGGAGCCATATTTTATCAAATGGAAGAAAACAATCATACCTGGTGCTCTCATGAAATTAACGTACACAAATGACCCTCCCAAGGTAGGCTGTTTCTGACAAACCTATTTAAAAGATTATCCCACCTCCCATTCAAGAAAAAAATATAAATAAAATATGAGCATTCCTCCTTTATCAACATATTTAGCAAACTTACTGAGTTTTAGAAATTAGGAATTATGCAACATTGTGACGACACAAACCATTTTACAATTCTCCTGTAAAATAGAGACAGTAAAAAGTCTACAGCCTTGGAGCTGTGGGAGTAAAGTTAAACAAAACAGATATGCTAAATGTAACTGAAATGCAATATTCTTATGGTTAACAATTTTGATAGTTCACTTTAAAATTTTTTGTAAAATATCTTCTGATTAATCTTTCATATCTCTCCTAAACATATACTTCCATTTGATTGTTTATTTTGCTTTCTAAGTTCCTTTCAATAGGGTTTTTCTGTCTCCCTCTCTCTCAGTGCCCAATTTACCACTACTCCTTTTCTCTCAGACTTCCCAGTTATTCTGATTCGAGATCCTTCCAGACCCCTCTTAGGAGGCTCACTCCTCCCTCTGAGTATTCTGCCCCTGCTCTCTCTCCTGCAACTCCAAGCTCATCAGGGCCTGGACCTCTGCTTCTTCAGGACCTCGGAGCCTAGTGTTTCTGTCCGCTTCAAGCTGTTTTGTTTCTCAGCTGCAGCACTGACTTAGGGAGTCTTTCTACGAAACTTGTAAATAATTAATTTTAGGTCAAATTTTTGCCACTGGAAACTTTTCCAAGTTAATAACAACTTTCTTTATCTCCATGAAGAAAGTATGTTTTGGTGGTAACAGTGGTTAGCAACTTATTAATAAAAGATAAAGTCTATAATCGGAAGGGATATGTCTTCTACTTTGGTGCAACACTAAATCTGATACTATTTTTGTTGGGGAGGAAAGAATTATAGGGGCAATACAACTTCTTGCTGTTTACACAGCCTGTCAATAGGAAGTATTATCAAAGGCTTTGAGAGACAAGTCAAACCTCAATGGCACATTAATACTCCCATCGTCTCCATTTGTTTCGTTCCAGGTCTTATATGATAACTTAAATAACTGAAGACATGAGAGTACCTGAAACAACCACAAAAATATCCTCACAGAACGAGTTTCTCATGCAGCCACACAAAATGTGGCCTCTTGGTTTCTCAGCTGGGTAGCCTATCGCTTCAAACTTATGCTGCTCGAGCAGCTCCAGGGATGGTTTGTGAGCAGGAGTTTTGAGCGTTGGGTCACTCTAACCCCAGAAGAATGATGGCTTCAAGGCAACAAAAGGGCACAGACTCTCT